ACTAAGTCGCAGCGCCAAAGTTGCATGCGCTGGGGCCTGTCCCAGTGAACTAAAGTACTACGGAAATGGTGACGTGCCCAAGGTTAGGCTTTAAGGTAATAAGAGTCTCAACTGCAGATTACAACTAGCCACCAGGCACCATCCTGTCACTGATAATGCTTACAACAGAATCAGTTTTCTTCATGGTTTGTGTCAGGATGCGCAAGCAGGTGCCTTTCAGTGAATGTAATTGAGGATAGTACACAATCTCCCTACAACCCAACAGTTAGGGGTTTTGCATTTGATGTCAAGTCCAAACTAAGAACTGAGCCACACGTTGCGCCCATCGCAACGTGCAGGGAGGAGAGCAAATCCAACCATGTCCCTGCAAATCCAAGCTGACTATACCTTCAGAATATGGCAACTGGTGCCATTGCACCTCTTCGCTTTGCACAAACCAAGCACTTGCAACAGCCATCGATATTGAAACTGACTCCAGAAGGTGATCAATCCCGCTGATTGCGCACAGTTGCCAACGCTGCAGCGTTTGCAAGCTCTCTATTGCGGTTGCGAGTACCACAATGTCAAAGCAGAAACAAGAAAGCGTCCATGGATCGACGCTTTGTTTTCTGCCGGGGAAGGTGGCGTCCAAAACAGGGTTATCCGAGCTCACCTTGTATCCGTCCTCTCCAGAAACTTCCCGTGCCAGGTCGCGGGGTGCCCTCCTCACGGTGCAGACCGATCGCAGCAGTTCGGGCCTCTCACGCGCATCAAGCACGAGGCGCGGTTTCCCGAACTTCAACGCACACTCCTGCAGCGGGCCCCTCGATCTTTGATTTCGAGGAAACAGCCTCGTCGGTCTGTGCAGCCCTGCCTTGCCCACCACGACCGCCATTCCCAGGCGCGGCGGCTCCGCACAGCAAAGTAGCTTCTCCATGGCGACATTAAGCAGCTCTGGGCAGCAGTGAGGCACGCGCTCCACGAGAAGATCTCCATGCTGTGCTCCTGCACCAGCGTCATCGTATCCCTGCAGAAGTCGCCTGTATTGGTCGTTTGTGAGGGCGGTGGGCGTTGCACGCGAGGGCGACGGAGTCTCTGACAGCGCCCCCGCCGTGCCTTGGCGCCGACGATCGGCCATCTGGACGCAAGGCGCCAGGGCCAGCATCCGGGGAGAGATACTGTCTCCGTGGGAGGGGGGAGGAGGGGAGGGGGAACGGCAGGGCATTTCTTGACGTTGAGATGGGGTGCATCGGCGGACTCCTCGTCCTGCCCGAGAAGCGCCCGCGCCAAATGGGTTGAGACCAAGGCTTTCTCAGCAGATTTGCATCTTGCAAGCGCATGATCGTCAAGTTGGGGCTGCCCTTGATTTGCAATGCTAACAAATCGCCATTAATTTTCTTCCAATACTTTATTAAAGTACTGGCGATTTAGGTACAGTACCAAATGCGAAGCTTAAAGCTTCACCTAGTCCTCAAACCGGACTCAATTTCTGATAGATGGGCAAGTGGGTGCTAAACAAGTCAGTGCATAAGCATCCAGATTTGCCAACCATGTAATGAAATGTTGGTATAACCAGCATTTGCGCTATTGCCATTGCAAGCCATTCTGGTTGATGCCTAGCGAAGCTCTGCATGATGGCCATCAGACCCAAGAATGCGTGAAATAAATTGACTAAAGTTGTATTGCTTTTGTGTATATAATATTGGAGCAAACTCATAGGAGGTGTCAGCGCAGAGACAGGAATGCTGCCAAGAGAATGGATTGTCAATCCGAATGAAAGAGGCGCGCTCAGGATCGACTCGGCGCCCAGCTCCACCATTCGTCCGCACAGCCAACATCTGCGCAGCACCAGTAGTGCAGTAGGGACGCTGCGCTGCCCAATCGGGTGCCATCTCAAAGCTTGGTGAAGCTGGTGAACGGGAAGGGCCGCAAAATTACAAAATACACAAGTTCTGATGGTTTCGAGACAGTTCTGTCCAAACATGCCCAGCGAGTCTTTCTGACCAGCTGCATATCGTGCACCTTGCCAGACAACAGTAATGGTGCGACTGTCGCATTGTCAGCCGCAACAGATACAGGCACATCAACGGCTTTAGGGCGCTGGCCCACGACTGCTCAGTGACCGACAGCTGTAGGAGCGGTGACAGTCAGGACACCGAGATGCATTGTAGAGAAAGTGTGTTGTGGACCGCAGAGCCTATTGCACAGATGTCACCATGCATGCCTCATGGCTAGTGCGCCTCAATGTCAGGAAGCAAAGCCCAGAGGGTAGCCTGAATTACTTGTATTATACATACGCCATTGCCTCATGGCTAATGCGCCTCAATGTCAGGAAGCAAAGCCCAGAGGGTAGCCTGAATTACTTGTATTATACATACGCCATGGCGACCTCAAACCTGTACTGCTGCAACTGTAGACTGCAGAATGGCTGCTTGAGAGACACCTGGATGAGAGTTCCATCCTTCACGCTGTACTGCGGGTCGTCTGATCAATACGTACAACTAAAGCGCATGGCACAAAGGGAACCACCTCATGAAATGCCTGAAATCCTTTTGGTGCCTTTCGTACATACTGCAGACTCAATCTGTACACAAAAAACGCACTACTTTCCGTGAAGAGCTGGGAAAATCCAGCTGCTCGAGCGGCATTTAACGCTCAAGAAATATTATCTACAGTCCACACAACACCAAAAGCTGTTCCATTGTTGTTCAGATGACAAACATGCTGTCTGCATGACACATGTCAGACAGTGTTCGTGTTCGTGCCGTAGTCCAGAGGCTGTCTGCTTACGTGCATGTTCCCGTTCCCAGCAGTAGCTGCAACGGCGGCAGCGCCCAGAACTGCTGCATGGTGCAGATTTGTCCTCTCCTAACCTAAATTACACTCCTTGCAGTTGATGCGTGTTGGAACAGAGATTGCAATGGCACACAAGGAGCGATAAGAACGGGGATCAAGTCGAAGGGTACCGTCTTTTCGATCTATGCTGTCTGATGCCACTCGCGTAGGATCGGCCTCTTCTGCCACAGCCACGCCCTGGCAACTGGATTCGGCTCTGGTTCACAGTGGGTCTTTGGATACTTCCCAGACTGGGCTCAATCACGTTACCTGCAGGCAACACCTGCGCTTCAACAACTCGCTGATATGGACCCGATGGCAAAGCTCCCTTCATTGGCCCCATGCGACCAAAAGGACTGGCGCCCACGGAAGGTGTCCCTGACAATGGCAGATAATGGTGCCTTTCTATATCTCTGTTTGCTTTGGCCGCATGCAAGCTTCTACATCCTTCGCGTCCCTGTGCCCTGCCAGGTCTCTTTGGCTTCACAACAATGGAAACTCCCTTGGAATTGACAACCACATGTTGCTTGTCTCCGTCGCTGGGATGACCTCGGCTGTTGTGCATAAAGGCAGGTGCTTTCGACTGGAGCGTCCAGCTGGCCCTAACTCCGTTCAGGCCATGCATTCTTGGATGCCTGCCTTGGGAATCTAGGTGCGTGGGTGGCGGATATGAAGAGATAGGAAGGGCACGGGCAGGCGTTGTAGCCTTCTGCAGCACACGGCTCCGATCTTGGATAACCACAAAGCTCGGCCTGGGACCCGACATCTGCATAATCTGCGGTGGTGCACATTGCGTCAATGGCAATCCTGCCGGTGATTGCGAGGCCGCTGGGATGGAAAGGTTACCACCCTCAGGGGTATCCTTCCAACCAGCGGCCAACTGCCCCATGACCTTCCGTTTCATATGCAATTTGCCTTCTCCTGGGGAAGCCCCTGGCGTTGCACACAGCACAGACCCCAACCCACGGCCAGGCGTTCCATTGCTGTTCAGCCCCTGCAATCCGTCTCCAAGACGACCAGTCCCTATCACTGGAGACTGCAACGGCAGTCCATGGAGGCCAGAAGGTCCCAATAACTGTGCACAGGCTGCTGCTGGTGGTGGAGCCATCAGCCCTCCAGTTCTGCGGTGCAGTTCAGCTGGGACATCCCCCATATGGTGAGGGCCACCGACAGCGTGCGTGCTTCCCGGGCCCACAGCCTCCGATGCAACCTGCTGAGGAAGAGGCGTTTTCGTCACACACCCCGCAGGGCCTGCCATGGGCATATTTGCTGTCTTGGCAGGCCCCATGGGCTTCTGCTTTGCTATCAAGTGCAGTTGGGAAGGAACTGCAGGTGGAGGCACAGAGGTTGCTGTTGGAATGCCAAACAAAGCAGCAAGTTCGTTAATGCCTTTCATGTTCAGCCCTTCTGGCAGCTGTGTCCTTGTGCAGCTCTCCTGTGACGACTGCCCTTGATCTCTGTTGCTTCCCTTGACACTCGGTTGCAGTGCAATCCCATCTGGGATCAGCCCAGAGAAACTGGGCTGTTGTCCATTGTTTTGCCCAAATTTCGAATCCTCAGGTAATTGTTGTCGTTGTGGCCTCCTTGGATCCACTGGCTGCCTTACCTGTTGAGTGCTAGTTTGCGCAAAAGACGTGTCAGATTTTCCAATCACATTTCTGGAAGCATCGCTCCTGCCATCGCACAAGCACAAAAGCTCAGATAGACCCAGGAGAGCGTGCATTTTGCTGAATGCAATGCACTGTGTTGTGCTTTGCCATTGCCCTCACAGGTGTCTCATCTTCTTTCACAGTATAGGAATCCCTCACAGCGTTGTTGCTCAGGAAGGGGTGCTCACAGTCTGCCATGCTTTGCTTTTGTTGTCAGCAAATCTTCCACATGCAGGTCTTAGGATCCGCCAGCAGAATTCCAATCACCATAAGGAGCCAAATTGAAAAGTCTGACGTGCATTCAACAGCGATCAGCCAACCTCTTGATATGGGCATATACTACGATGCTCCTTTCTCCAGAAAGTACAAGTACAGCTCAACATCAGCTCCTGTTCCAAAGCACATAGGATGGCACACAACATTGGTGCAAAAGATACTACTTCTTGTGGTTCACAAGGCATCAAGTGCACAGGACACCCCGCAATTGCATGGAATGAGCCCACACAGCCACTCTAACAAGCAGCACTGGTGAACGAGTCAGCACACAATAGCTGAACAATCACTACGACCACATGCAGTCATATGGCAGCACTCCTCGCTGTTTAATGGCAAACAGGCGCTGTGAACAATACGGGACAAAAACTTGCAGCTGGAACAGAGCCTGGCACAGCATTATGGGCACAACGGCAGTGCTTTGCAATGAGCACGTGACAAAAGCATCCACTGCATATGCTTGGGTACAGACGCCACATGTGCAACACCCTTTCTCCTTACCAGAAAACATACCTCCTCTTGGAGTTTTCACACCTTTCCCTTCTATCAGCAAATTGACAGAATGATGGCCCTTTTCCTGTTCGAAAATTCAATATACAGGAATTTGGCATGGACTGTGATTCAAAGACTATCTGGGACGTAGATGGGCATTACGTTGTTTTGTTTGCTGGGCCACAGGAGTATGCATCGGAAGAGTACCCACCATTCTCTGATATTCGAAGACTGCTGCTGCGCCTGTGAAGAAACAGGCACAGACTCTGCCACTCCATCCACACCTTTGATCCCTTCATTGCCTCTGATCACACTGTTCATGCTGGGATGCATCCAGCTCTTCTTGTGTATGATCACAAGCAACAACTCACCACTGGGGCTGACGTTGACAGGTACTTCGGCTCTTTGCCCACTGTCCACAACAGCACTTGCTGTCAGCAGGAGCCTGGCTGCCAAATCACTCTTGGCCACCAAGTATCCCTCAAGGTCAGGCCCTGGTGCGATAACCCCTGATCGGCCTCTTCTGGAGTAGTGCTTGATGAGCTCGTTGACACATGCTTGGTCCATGAGACCTGCGTCATCTGCCAACTTCAGCAATCCTAGAGTTGCTGTCCGGTTTTTAGATCCACGCAACTGCTCAAAAAAGGTCTCCACCTTATCTGAGTCCACGCGCCCCTTGATCTCCATCTCCTCTGTGGCAAGCATCTTGGACAGATCTGCTATGCCAGCCAGCGCCTCACACTTCATCTTGAATGACACGTCCACAAGACCTGTGAACCTGCCTTGCCAGACGTGTGTACCAACTGGCACCAACGTGCCCAGCTTAGCAGGCATTTGCACCAGAGGTGCTAGGCCTTCGATAGCCGAAGGCATGTCAATCGGAGCATTGGAGGGCCTGTTTGGGCTGTATGTGGATGCAGTTCGGGGCAAGGTAGGGGAGTACTCCATTTCGTCTGCAAGTGCAGGCCCCTCTGCCACCCCTGAAGAATCTGCCACAGTGTTGTCAGTGCCTCCAAACACTGTCCTATTGGCTGTTGTGCTGGGCACTGCCTTGTCGTTTCCCTCCCATTCTCCGATAGCCCAGTCTGGCAATGACTGGTCCTCTGGGCCAGCAGTTACTGAGGGGCTTCTGGGAAGATGGGCAATGACTGAGGGGATAGCAGCTGGGTGGAAAGGATCAACCACATGGGCTTCACCCCCAGGCGAGCCCGTAGATTCATTCATGTTAGCGTCTTCAGCATGCCAGGGCGTCAAAGGTGGGCTTGGGGGCACACTGACTTGACAATTGTCCAGCCCTGTTTCAGAGGTAAAATTCTCCTCAATGGGAACACATCGCAAGGAGTTGCGAGTGTGCATCTCTTCCACAAGATCACTTGTGTGCACATCTGGTCTGCTGGATGCTGTGTGCTGATGTTGCAGAGCAACCTGTGCCAACACAAAACTTTAGTATCTCTATTGTGAACACCAACTAGTGGAGTCGATACATCAATACCATTCAACGTTAACAGCATAAAACAAGAATGTTCTTGTTGTTGATCGTGCTGCGCAGAAGTATTCAGACCCATCCCACTGTGGATTACTTGGCAATCAACACATTTATAGGCTTGAGATGCTATGTGCCTACTTGAAGATCACTCCCCAACACAGGCATTGTTGGCTGTGAACTGTGCCCATTGGCGAGCTGCCTCCATTTCATCACAGCTGCAGTTGCAAATCCTGCTGCCGTTTCCCCATCCAGAAGAGCAGATTTCAGACATTCCTGTGCCTTTTGGGAACGCCTGCAGCCAAGACAGTCAAAATCCACAATAGGAACTACCAACCAATTCCAGAGGTGCCACTGGGCTGAAACTCAAGGTGCAAGCAACGTCCACCAGCAGGGGGCAGGTGTGTCACCTGACATGCCCACTGTTATTGGTGCCAAGTGAATTCGTGCGCCCTATGAAAACATGCCTGATACACCCCACGGCTGAAACTGTACAGCAAGGCAACTGCCCTTCTACCTATCCACAGGTTATGATTGGCCATCCCTTAGGATGCACACAGCAATGCCACACAAAGCATGCCAGTCACAGCATCCTATTTTGGTGCGGGTACTTCTTCCTGTGTGTACATCCTTGCCTACCATTTGTTGAGTTCACTGGAAGTGAGCTCATTAGGACCCATGCGCACCAACACATCCGGAGCAATCTTCCCCATCAGCACTTGTGCCCGAAGGTCAGGGTTATTCGAGTCTGCGAGGTTGAAGTGAAGACTGCGGAACCTTCGCATGTACTCCTTGCCAACGCCACCGAACTGCTTGTACAACTCTGATTCCACTGCTTTGGCAACATCATGCGGTTCAAGGAACTCTGTGGGAGCGGCCTGGCCCGACAACTCCCCCACATTAACCAAGAGGGCCTGTGCAAGTTGGCCAGAAATCATTTTACGAAGGTCCTGCTGAGATGGCGGTGATTGTGGGCAAGGGGCAGAATGGGCTTGTCCTGGTAGCAGCCAACACAACAACTGCGACAAGTTCAGCCTGGCAAAGTCCAAATCCCAAGAGCGTCCAATTTAGCCCGACAACTCATGCAGCGCACACAAGAGTTCAAAACCGGCCCCTTCGCGCGCGAAGGCAGGGCACCCCAAAGCGGCGCAGCCAGTCGCTTGTCCAAAATGCGATAGCACGCTCCCAACGCATCCACTCCCACTGCGCGCCTTCCATTTGCACCGCGAGTCTGACGATCAGAAGGAGCCCATGCGGTGGGTTCGCCCACAAATGGCACCAAAATTTAACCCAGCCCACCGCGAGCACCCACTGACCTTCCACACCACCCCGCGCGCCACCCCGCCTCCCAACCAGCGACACCAGCAAGCTCCCGCCGAAATCCTCCTTCGCCGCCTCCCGAGCCTGCTCCTCCGCCTTCCCCGCGCCTCCGGCCCCCCCACCCCACCCCTTGGCCCCCTCCTCCGCCGGCCTCAACGCGGCCTCCCTCCTCGCCCTCTTGGCCTCCTTCCATCCGAAATCGCTCGCGTTCACTGCCTGCTGCTGCCCACAGCGCGCTCTCTTTCCCATGCCCCCGTCCCCTCCCGCCGCGAACGTCCCCAGATATGCGTCCGTGGCTCCAATCCCCCCCCCGCCGTCCGTTGGCCTGCGGGTCGTCGCCAGCGCCAGGTAGCCGTCGGGGACGTCACCATGTCCTAGCCCCTCCCCCGGCAGACGCACGTCCACCACGGCGAGCTGCCGCGCGCCCACGAGCTCCCCCAGATCCGCATCCTCCTCCTCCCGAGTTCCGACGTAGGCAATTCTGACCGCGCGATCACATGCGGCCATCCGCTGCAGCCGGGCCTCGTGCCAAAGGCCGTCGCCGGGCCACAGCACGAAGGCCTGTCGACTGCGCAGGTCCAAGGCCATGTCCGATTCCGCCAAAATGTGGTACACCTTGCGCCATCCGGCGCCATCCCTGCCCTGTGCTGGCGTGCAGCCCTCTGTCGCGCTGCAGAACCGCCGCGGCGGCGAGACGTTGCGTCTGGGACATCCGGAGGCCATCGCGGCGTTGCAGAGGAAGGGGAGAGGAGCGGGCGCTGTGCGCGGCGAAGCCGCCGGGCGGCGTCCTCCGGCGCAAGCGTCGATGGCGCTCGCGGGGGCGGTGCGAGAGGGCATGTCCCGCCTGTGTCCAGGAGGGTGGGACATGGAGCTTAAGGTCCGCAGAAAGTCAAATCCTGTGAACGATTCTTTGCTGGTGTCGCTGGGGCTTGGGCGAAGTACCGAATTCTCGTGTCATTCTTTCCTACATGAAAACTTACAGGGACAAGGCGAGGAATTATTGTATAGCTGTGTGGGGGCATCACCACATACCATAGTATGTTACAGCCCCTCCACATTGTAACATAGCGTTTGGTCTTTCATGCAAAGCAATAATAAAGACCTAACGGCACCAGGAAACTTGGAACAGCCCCAGCCGCAACACGAGGATCTCTAGACTGCTCGTGGTGTCTAGCGGCCCCAGATGCATGATATGCTATTGCGGAAAACAGGAATATGAGGCCATTCGAACTGAACGGAGTTGCCATTCCGGTTGTGGTTATGATGGAGAGCCCCCAAGAGAACGGTTTATCAAACACAAGTGGTATGCGAATCATCACGCTGAAATTTCAAAATACGGAACTTCCATATCGGAAGGGTTGAATATACTATGATAATGCCCGGCATTTAATGTGCCAACTTGACATTGAGAATCCGGTGACTTGCTCACTTACAAGATTTTGCGATACTACACTATTTCTTATGACAACGCCAAACTACTCAAGAGATTGTTCTTTTTCCAACATGTTTGGGGCAACAATTAATGTAGAAATATTACATTATAGACAAAGCCCCATTAGTGGCGCTCAGTTGGCACCTTGTGAAGCCCAGTACCAGTGGCATGTAGTGTGACGTGGCTGCTTGGGGTTTAGGCTTATCTGACATTTCTGGAGTAGGAGTTACGTAATTGGGGAAATCACCTTTTAGGGACGTTATTTAGAGCTTCTTGGTTCCAACGCGCCTTTCAACGCCCAATTCCGTTAAGAATTGACGAAGATATGGCCTCCTGAAGTTGTAGTACTGAGGGCCGGGGGGTCGGGTGTTAGATGCTTGGAATTAGAGGACAATGGGTCGATCGTAGGTGAACGGTGGACGGTGACGATGTGCCTGGATGCGCACTTTACTTGTCTTGTCTTGATGTGACAGTGATGGACCCGCGATCGGGCATCGCGCATGCAGGGAATTCGTGTAAGCCGTTCTTGGCCCACTGCCTGGTCTCTCCGCGACCAGCGAGCCACCGACTGGCTGCGCCACCACCCGCCGCATACAGCAGGCCCCGGGGGACGATCCCCATCGTTCGGGCCCACCGCGCATCCAAGGGAACGAGCGCCCCGCTTCAGCCCACCGAAATCGGTGGAGAGGGCTGGCTGACCTCCAACAGCCAAGCCACAGGGTGTGGCGACCCCACGAGCTTCGGAAACTAGCGGCGCCCTTCAGGGCCGCAACATGTAGCCTAAACTCGGCTTAGGATGACTGGGAGTGTCAGTGACACCACCTCCCCACCACAAAAATGATGTCACAAGGACCCAGGATGCTCTTAGGGACCACAGGGCCTGTCAACGTAGCTACATAGGCTCAAAGTAGGTCAGAAGCACCATCCACCATAATGGGCAATGTGAAAGCATGCAAAAGACCTTAGGGAGCTCATACTAGAAGAGTGGCATGCCAATTTGGAGAGGGATAATGGGTTGTTGAGGTGGTGAAACGGCTGGATGAGGATTTAAACAAGGCGCTATAACTATCGCCATTCCAAAGCCTATTTTGTGAGATATTGCAACTTGACTTCGAAACAATGGCACAACAAGGTATACAAGCGGCTTAGAATGAAGCAGCTGTTAAGATCGAAAAGGCAAAGTTTTGTAAAGTGAAAAATAACTCTGTTTTGATACAAGCACATGACCTGTTGTAGCTGGAAATCTTGAAGGAATAAGGGGGAACTACTGAAGACTTCTACCTCAATAACCGGCCTAGAACATTGGTAGAACTAAAAGAAAAGAGCCCTACACTATGGGCTCTGAACAATCAAAACAAGCCCTATCAAAGCTACCCCCTAGCCCATCTCCAAAGCCTGAGACTTTCCCATCTCGGATGAAAGCAATGGTGCAATTTTGAATATGGGAGCATGAGTTGATAGCTCTTAAGGCCATAAGAAGGTTTTGTAGGGAGGTCAGAGCCTGTCTAGTTAGTGATCAGAGGCCAGCAATCATTAAGATCAAGCCCAAACTTTTTGCAATTCTGACCGAGGTGGGGAACTCATTTAACCATAGAATAGATACGTACGAAGTAGGATAGGGAGCCAGACCATTGCCCGTGGGTCGCTATCAAAGTTTCAAATGGCCGGCCATTCTGAAAAGCTCACTAAAGGTTGAAAAGCCACGTGTGTGCAGGTTGGCCAAGAGTGTGGTAATGCACCTTGCATGGCTAAACTTTAGAATGGAAGTAGTACAAGCATATAGAAGCATTCGTCATAGAGTTCATGGGAAGGGTCATTGCTTTTCTTTGCATTATAATAGCGCAATGATAGCACCATCACGCTCATTCTTTTGGCGATAAACTAATGTTGAAATACAATATTAGAAAGACAATATTTTGGAAGAGTGAGAGCCGTTCGAAGGTACTCTGATACCAATGGCATTTTCGAGAGCAAGGCTGGCCATTATCGACAAATGCCTCCCATGGCTTGAGCATGCTATTGCAGTCTACACGAGTGCAGAGTTTAGAGTGCATGTAGCAAAGTGACATGCACTTGAGGCTCTCCAAGAGATTTACAATATTTTAGGGGTGGAACCAAATACCGATTTCGAACAGTTCTGGCTTGAGGAGAAGATTCACAACAATATCATCAACACAATCCTTGAGGCAATGATGAAAAAAGAGGACGCCTTCAAGGGCTTCCGCCCAAATGAGAAGTATTGCAAGATGGTGGCAAGGAGGGAAAGTCTAGGTTTTGGGGATGGATTCATGGGATGGCTTGGAATGTGTGAGGAACCGAGCCTAACAATAGATTAGTAATTGATGTTGCTAGACACTGATGCCTTAGAAAGTCTTGCTAGAATGTTCTAGATTTTTATGCCCAAATGAAGGATGGCCAAGGGCATTTCAAGTGTTTGAACTATCAATTAGTAGCTTACAGAAGTATTTGAGAAAACATTCAAACAAAATAAATATTGGTTACAAAATGGATACTGCATATTCTTGCAAGGTTTTGCCCAATACTGACCATTTGTGGTGATCTTATGGCCAATTCTGTGAGAATTAAGAAATATGCATTTTGTCACCAAACCGTTTATTTGCATAGAATCATGGTTTCTTACAAATAATCAGCTATTGATAATTCAATGAGTTTTGGTGTAGTGATTGGACATTGTACTATGCTTTGACAAGTAATTGGATGAATTAAATGAGCCAGATGAGTTCATCTGAGATTAAAAATATGTCAATCATGATCGCCACGTTCATCTTGTTAAATAGGTTAGTTTGCGGTATAATGAGTTTATCAGAACAATTTATATCATTTACCCCCTTTTTGGCCATTTGGGGCATTATTCCTTAGTGGAATCGGTGTGATTATGAACACTATAGTCTATTATAATGTGGTGCACGGTCATGGGCGGATGGGAACCGCTAAGAAGTGGTGGAGTATACTCCAAGGGATTTTGGGGTTGATCCGGCAGTACGGGCACCTGTCAGATACCTGCATTATATTGGATTATAGGTGCAAGCGTCCCTACGGCCATGGCACCTTGGAGGGACGTGGTATTGCTTAGGGAAGCTGCCTGGCATTAGTAGAGGCATGCTAAGGGGCCAAAGGAC